TTGTGTTATAAATTAATTTTTATTACTAAATTGAGCAGTCATACCTACGATTTAATTATTATAAATATTAAATCTGCAGTTTAATATTATATCAGTAACACTGATGAGGTGAGAATCTGAATTATATTGTGAATATATTAATTAGCGATGAGACACCCAGTATATATATATATATATATATATATATATTTATATATGCATTTTATTATTTTTAATAATCTACCATTCTTTCTTTTATCCGATATTTGAATATTAAACAACAATAGATTAGATAGATAATAGTTTTAAAGAATTCAAATATTTCAGAATTTTCTTAAATTATCTTACTATCTACACATTACTGCATTATATTTATTATTCCAAATATATCAGATTGTAAATGGAGATGAATTATTTTATTGTATTCATTTAATGTATCAGCTGAATCTTTCTATAATGCTCAATTATCACAGCTCACAATAACTATTAAATAAATATACGTAATTTATACATATTTCCACACATACTGTCATTTTAAGTTCCGTCATTATTATTGGATTTATTTAATATAATTATTTCACCTTACAGCTATTTTAATTTACTTTAATAAATTGTATCGAGAGCGATACCCTCCTTTCTCTTTAATCATTTTCTTGATCAGTTTCATCTATCATTTCGATAAATTAAAAGTATGTGGTCATTTCGTCTACCAATCTAACATTATTTTAATCTTCATGTTTCACTTTAACCTTCATGTTTTATATTACGTTAATATCGAGTCAACATTAAGTAAATTATCAAAGCTTCAATTATTATCAAGAAAAGTCTTTGTAAGTTTCCGCTATGAGGCCTACGAACTCATTTTCGTCGTCTCTAATTGAAACAATTGTAATCCTAATTTGAAATTGGCGGGGCATGTCGCTTGTCAGTGCTACCTCACCCTAGCTCAGCGTCTTCTCCCGAGACGTAACATCGCACTGGTACTAAGGATACGCGATGCTGCAAACGCTTTAAAGCATTTTTTAATTGGTCAGTTTGTAAAATTCTTTCTGGTGCTTCAAAGCATTTATAGCGAGACTTTGACCACAGCCTAATGGCTTCTGCACACTGAACGTGGAAGCGCTTGCCGCGCGGTAAAATGCGATGCGGTAGCCAATAAACTTATAGCTCCTAATGTGTTTACTGGTTATCGCGTCTCATTTTGCCGCGCGGCAAGCGTTTCTGCGTCCAGTTGCAGGGCCATAAGTAGTACAAAAAGTCGAAATGTCGACTACTAGCGCGAGTTTTGATTGGCTTTTCCGCGTTCTGCTTTTCCATCAAGGTGTGAACGCGCCTCACTCTACTTGGTTTCTATTCCCACCACTACCATCAGTGTCCATTCTATATGTCGATGAATACTGCTGATAGAATTAATCGATTAAAATTGATTGAAGTAGAATCAGGTAAAACTATTATTTTCAAACTATCGATATTTTTAAAGCTATCAATAGTTTTTGAGTAAAAAACTATCGATAGATTATCGATGTTTAGCCAGCATTAATTGGCAGTCATGATCATGTTGGCAGTCATATGATTGATCGATGCGTTTCAGTTTGCCACGCCTGCATTTTTTATTTTATGTATAAATTATTCTGTTAAGTATATATTTGATACTTCATCTGATAAACTTGAATTTCAGTTCTCACCAAAAATGGGTAACAGGTCAAGTCTTCTTTTACGCGAGGATGAAATAGCGCAGATACAAAATGCTACTGGTTGCAAGTATCCATTTGTTTATTCATTCCATACGAATTAATTAATTTATTTCGATAGTTTCGAAATTTATTTAAATAACTTTTAATAAGACAAATATTAGTGTGTGATATTAATACTGGCATTCTCTATTATAGTTACACCAAATCAAATCGAACGTTTGTACAGCCGCTTTACAAGTCTGGATCGCGGAGATTGTGGAACACTTAGTCGAGAAGATTTTCTCAGAATCCCAGAATTGGCGATAAATCCTCTTGGTGAAAGGATAGTAAACGCTTTCTTTGAAGAAAGTGGAAACGACAGGGTGAATTTCCTACAGTTTATGCAAGTCCTGGCTCATTTTAGGCCTATCAAAAAGAACAGTCCCAATCGATTGAATTCTAGACAGCAAAAGTTAAAATGTAAATATTGCCGAATATAAAATGATAGATAATGATGTCTTATAATCTAAATATTCATTAAGGATTTATTATTAAATATTTTTTTTAGTTGCATTTAAAATGTATGATTTGGATAACGACGATCTGATATCAAAAGATGAACTACTTGCTATTTTACATATGATGGTTGGTGCAAATATTAGGTAAAAATTAATTTTTTTATAATTATCGCAATAATTCTATATATGATATTCTATATATGTATTTCTATAATCGAATAAAATATTTAATATAAATTTGACAATTCAATAAACATATTTATTTCAGTGAAGAACAGCTAACCAGCATTGCGGAACGGACCATAGTTGAGGCTGATGAAAACGGTGATGGTATGATATCATTTGAAGAATTTTGTAAGGCATTAGAGCGTACAGATGTTGAGCAGAAAATGTCAATAAGATTTCTCAGTTAAATTGATTATGGATTTATATAGAAAACTATAATATAGAATTTTATAGAAGAGTAGATGTTAGGGAAAAAGTTTGTCATAAATTTTTATAATTGTGCAATATACAAACAACTTTAACTAATCTTATAATTAGTAAACAAGAAAAGGTACTTACGATTGAGAGGTTAAAAGAGAATTTATAAAATGTATAATATAAATCTTGAATTTTATAAGACTTATGGGAATTAAAAAAGAATGGTGTGCGTGCATGCGTGCGTGCGTGCGTGTGTGTGTGTGTTGTGTGTGTAGGTGTGTTAGAATCTGTTTAAATATATATATATATATATTTTATATATGTATATATATATATGGTATATATATAGATATATATATATATATATATATATAATTATCTATGAATTAAACATGTATAAGGAATTAGAATTAACGTTAATTTTAATTAATTTAATTGTATGCAAAATATAAAAAAATGTATTTTAGGAAAATTAAAAGCAAATTAACAAAATATTTTGAAAACTGTTTATATTAATAATTATCTGATTTTTGATAATATTCTTGAGACTTCCACGGGTGCTTTCTATATAAAGATTATGCGTTTCGCGGGTTTCCCCCGTGTCCAGATCCATTCTTGGAATGCCAAGAACTTTCGTGAACCTGTTTGACAAAACAACCACAATAGCCAACATTACACCATACTTTCCAAGAAAGTATAGAGAAACCATAGAGATACAAAAACACTAACAATCTAAATAGAGATAATGGCTAAATAAATAAAATATGGAAAACCATTCTCCCGGTTATTGAAGACTGACCAATTCCTCCACCTTCCCCCCCACAATTCTTCTTTTTTTCTTCTTACTACTCCAACAAGTAGCGTAATATAAAAAAGGACCAGGAGGAATAGCTCAGTATCAGGCTGCTTCTCGTCCTGATGAAGTACTAGAAGATTCACGAAACGTTGACATTCCAAGAATAGATCTGAACACGGAGGAAATCTGCGAAACGCATAATCTTTAATTATCTTATTTATAAATTGTCTAAAGTTTATATTATTTATTATACACTACTTACAAAAATTAGAGAAACACTTAATTTTTTACCCACAAAAATTAGAGAAACACTTAATTTTTTATAAAAAATAGACAAAATTTAGGCAGCTGTAACTTCGTCAAAAATGAACGAAATTTGAATTTAAAAAAAGAGTTTTAAAGCTTGAAATTTATTTTTAGAAAATTGCTATTTTTTTTATTTCCTGTGAGTTTAGTAATTTTTACACATAGAAAACTACGAACTCAACTAAATAAGAAATGTATGAAAAGAAGAGCATAAAAAAACCACCGCAGTTATAGTTTGTGATATTTAATTATCATTACATTAATTAAAACATTAGACGTTTCGGCCACAATCTGGTCATCCTCAGTAAATTCACAATATTCTTAAAACAGAGTTATAGCTGACATTAAATTCAACAGTCATATGATGTAATTATATAAACGTGTTCTTTCATATGTGAAGATGCTTATAATAATGTTACACCGTCAATTGTCATATCACGAGAATTTTCAGATTCTAATTTAATAAATTTGCGTATCATTAATATCTTCTAATCGAAATATGTAAGAATAGAATTGTTATCTGTTTTACAGCAAAAAAATATAATGAATCTCAAATATCATCCTTTGTACAGATGGAAATTTGTCGTGACATTGTGTGTTGTTATTTGTCATATCATATATTTTACCACTATTTATATATATGAGTCAAAAGTTTAGAAAGTTCTAGAATTATTTATTAAGTGTGAGAGAGATCTTTCTTAAGAAGAGGCAGATAAACATCAGGCAAACCTTCAGTGTCACTTTGCTTATTGATATCACTTATTTGGCCTTTTATATATATCATTTCAGAAATTCTTCTTTTCATTAATGATTGTTCTGTGTCTAAAATTCTTATGTTATCCCAATCCAATTCATGCATCTCATTCAACTGGTGACGTGAAACCACTGACATCTCGGAAGTGGATTTTCTTATGTTAGCCTTGTGTTCTTTTATACGAGTTTTTAATTTCCTTTTTGTTTGGCCAACATAAGAAGATTCACAATTTAAACAATTTATTTTGTAGACTACTCTACGATAGTCATCCTTAAGTAAAGGATCTTTTCTAGTTTTTATAAATGTATTCATTTTATTCATGGCTTTATAAGCTATATTAAAGCCATGTATATGTGAAAGCTTTTTAAATTTTCAGATACTTTGTTTAAATATGGTATCTTTTTCTTTGAATTAGAATTAGAGTCATATTCGTTATTATTGTCCTCACGATTTTAATCTAAATTAGTTCTACTTTCCAAGATTTTTATTCTATTTTTTATTGTTGAAAATATGAATTTAAGAGGATAATTTAAGAAGACCATTTATTAAAAGAGTGAATTAAATCAGAGATGTTTTTTTCATGAAATTTTGGATGGGATAAAAGTAAAATTCTATCTAATTGCCAGATGATTACGTCCCTTTTATGTACTAACGGATGATTCGAAAAATAATTTAAATATTTCCCAGAATTAGTAGGTTTTTTGTAAATATCGAAGATGATTCTTCTTTCTTGTCTCATTAATTTTACGTCTGAAAAATTTATGCCGTTTTCATCGCCAAAGTCAACAGTGAATCTAAGTCTTTCATGATATGAGTTAAACAATTCCGGAACTTCCTCAACCTTGTCTTTATGCACCGCTAACACAATGTCATCCACATAACGGAAATAAAAAGATGAGATAATATTATTAGCAGTAATAATTTCTTGTTCTAAATCTTGTAGAACTATGTTCGCTAATATAGGGGACAAAGGAGAGCTCATTGGCATGCCAAAAATCTGTCTAAATATTTTTTCGTCGAATTTAAAAAATGTAGTAATCATAATTGCTTTAATAAACTTATGTACAGGAATCGAAGTCTAATTTTCAATCAAATTCTATCTACGTTCAATGCTTTTTAATACTAAATCGGTCGGAATGTTCGTGTACATGGAGACCACGTCGAATGATATAATACTAAAATTTTTATCGATTACCTTTCCATTGAGTTTATTTACAATATCAAAACTGTTTTTTACATAACTAAAATTCTTTTTATTACTTTTATCTACAATTTCTTTTAAGAAGCTCGCCAGTGGATAAAAAGCACTGTTAATGCAGCTAAACTATCAATCTTAGAGGATGACCTTCCTTGTGAATTTCTTCCTTAAATAAGAAATCTTTAGCTCACTTTGTAGGCTTGTCTCGTGCGTACAAAAAAGTGGAAAATTGCTTAATTTCAGTGTAAAGAAAATGAACAATAAAGTTTAATTAATGTTGAAAAATCAAATTTCAGTGCATCGACACTACGCTGATGTTTATCAAATGTCAGTATAAGTATAAGTCACGAATAAGTGTATCTATTATTTTCTTTATTGAAATTTGAAAAAATATTGCCGACGTTAGCGTTATCCAAAGCGTATGATAGGGTCGCACGGTCAGATTTACGCTTCGTTTGCGTGCGTGCGTGCGGGCGTGCCGGCGTGCGGGCGTGCGGGCGGGCGGGCGTGCGTGCGACCTGCTCATTACATTCGGGAATTCCTAAGGTCGATTCTACATTAGTTGCAAGCCAATCGCAAGTTTGTTGCGACAGCCAATATGAAGTTGATTTCAAAATGCAAGCTTCAGATTGGCTGTCACAACAAACTTGCGATTAGCTTGCAACTAATGTAGAATCGGCTTAAGAAATATCATGGAAGCATAATATTGCATCCGCCGTTGAGTCCTGATTTGAATCCAATCGAGCGTATTTGAGATATGTAGAGTACGCGAAAACTATCCCAACATTGCTGATTTAGTTTCGCTTGTCAGAGTCTCTTTTATATGAATCTGGCAGCGAATTCCTTAAACAGCTATACGCCGTTGTATTAATATGCGAAAACGATTGCGTGCAGTCATCTTGAATAGATGAAGAAACACGTGTTATTAAACTTACCTTTTCAGGATATGTTCCGATATACTGCTGGTACTGAAAACCTATAGTACAAATTACGTGTACTCTAGATTTTCGATACTGGCAGTATTGGAACACATTCTGAGTTTTAATCTTTTTTATGTATGCATTTCAAGCACGCACACACGCACATAAAACGAAGCGTAAATCGACCATGCGATCGTGGTATACTTTGGGTAACGCTAACGCCGGCGGTATTTTTTCAAATTTCAGTGAAGGAAATAATAGACGAAACTTATTCGTACTGACACTTGATAAACATCAGCGTAGTATCGATGCACTGGAAATTGATTTTTCAACATTAATTAAACTTTATTGTTCATTTTCTTTACACTGAAATTAAGCAATTTTCCAATTTTTTGTACGTTTCATATTAAAACCATAATAGCTACCACGAAAGAGACTTCTATAGCTATTCGGCAAATTTTTAATAAATGAATACTTAAATGCACAAAAAATCATGAAAAATAAACATTTGTTGTTGATCCACACATTTTTTCCTGAGTAAAAATAAAAAAGGAAGTTATTAATTTTTACGATACCTTTAATCATTTTTTATCATGTTTCTTAAAACGTGTTTCTTAAAAAATTTGGCAATCATACCATTAAAGCAAAATTCTAGCTTCAAAAATTTTTTTTTTAAAGTTGCGATAAGATGATTTTTAACGGAGTTATGAGCAATTAAAGTCAAAGTGCTCTATTTATTACTCAATCCATGATATTTCAGTAACGAAAAATTATAGAAATGTTTTCAAAAATTTTGTAGGAAAAACTTCAAGCTTTTAAGAAAGTCAAAAATTTTCGCAGATTTTTTTATACACATATAACAAGCTCACAAAGTGAGCTAAAGATTTCTTATTTAGTTGAGCTCGTAGTTTTCTATGTGTAAAAATTACTAAACAGGAAATAAAAAAAATGGTAACTTTCCAAAAATAGATTTCAAGCTTTAAAACTTTTTTTTAATTCAAATTTCGTTCATTTTTGACAAAGTTATAGCTATCTAAATTTTGTCTATTTTTTATAAAAAATTAAGTGTTTCTCTAATTTTTGTGAGTAGTATATATTGATATATTTATACAAAAAAGAATGTATATCTAAAACATTACAGGTTTTAATTTTTATTAAAGAGCCGTTTTTTTTCATATCAATATACTGTAGATAGCTATCGAGTTTACAGGTCTTATGTAGAATTGCTAATATT